TTACCATACTTAGAGTATGGCATTGAAAACTGGGGAAATACATACAAAAGCTCACTTCAACCATTGTATATATTACAAAAAAGAGCGATAAGAATTGTGCATAAGATGGGGTATAGGGATCACACCAATGGAGCTTTCATACAGTCTACATTGTTAAAATGTTTCGATTTAGTGGGATATAAGACTGCTGTGTTTATGTATAAAGCCAGGAACAATTTATTACCTGGTGGAATTCAAAAGTTATTTAATGAAAGGGATAGAATTGACGAGGTTAATCATAAATATAAAGGTATGTGTCAATCAAGATATATGCAAGAACAAGCTCAATGATTAATTAGATGGAACATTGTGGGTGTGGTGTACATTTTGTAACCATTCTTTAGTATATTACTTGTGTGATGTAAGAATGTTAACACTGTTATATTCTTTTTTTTAGTATAATATGTGTGTGCGTAGAAGTGAATCATTTACTGCTTGCAAGCCAATGATGATAAGATGATGTCATGGGGTAGGACTGGATAAGTCTGACTTCTTCCTACTCCATTCAAGCACGTACTAGGTATAAGCAAATCGATATTGGATTATGTGTAAAATTATGTGTGTTGTCATATCAACTGTTTTACATGCTTGAAAGAATAAATCAAATCAAATCAAATCAAATATTATATATGTATATAAGGAAACTTCATTTCACTGTGCTTAATGAGGCTCAGAAAAAATGTTAATAATTAATCCAGTGTTCAGAGCTGTAACATAGATGTTCTAGAGCTTATATACTTTATAAGAAGCAGCCATCACATTCTACTCTACAAGACCGATGAAGACAAGTCAGTTGACTTTTAAGGCAGTGTTTACTTGACAGCTGAAAGCACTTGTCTAATAATCTCAGTTTAGTACAGATGGACCGATACACATTGTGTCAGAGGTGTTACTCAACTGAAGTAAATTTATGAGGAGAACTATTGCCCCACCTCTATGGAACATTTGAGTGTGTTTAAGCCACATGTTTTGGTTTTATGGGCCCAAACCATCCTGTTAAGGGTCAGTCACACTGAACCTTACATGTGGCGGCAACCTTACGTGAACCTTACAGCAGCAGCAGCAGGAGGCAACTTTTTTCAGCCAAACCCACTCTAGAGCATCTGCAAGGCACCAGGAGGGAGACAGAGAAAGTTACTCACTAGCCGGTGAACATAGTTGAGCATTTAAAGAGCCATATTAACCTTAGGAATTATTGAAGCCCACAAACTGAGCTAAAAGTGAGAATGAATATTTGTCAGAAACAATCTAAGTAAGTGATACTGTTTCTCCATGTTTGGTGGATAGGCAAGTGTTTGATAACATTTCATACAATGGTCATATCAAATCAAATCAAATCAAATCAAACTTTATTTGTATAGCGCCAAATCACAACAAAGGGCATCTCAGGACACTTTACAAAGTAAGGTCTAGACCTTACTGTTATCAGTATTATTACATAGGGAAAGCCCAACAAATCCCCCTTATCATATGATGGTATTGTTTGCAGCTTGCTGCACTGCCCCCATATGGCCCAATGAAATTAACAAAGGTAAATCTCTGAATGCAGGACTTAGTAGCCTTTTGCTACTTTTATCTAAGGACGGTTTCTTCCACTACTATTAGAGAGCAGTGGTGGAAGAAGAAACAGATATTTTACTGAAGTAAATGTACTACACCTTGTAAAAAATACTCAATTTCTGTTCTGCCCTGGAAATGTTATTTCATTAAAGGCATGTATTGGCAAGCCAAATGTAAAGTATTAAAAGTACAGAAAATGATCTGTAACATTACATTGTTATGGCTTTAATGTCTAAACAACATTTACTGTTTATGTTAGTTGAGGTGAAGCTATTTGAATTACTTGAAAAACGACAAATGACTTGATTCCGAAATAATCTTCTGATTATGGTGAATTAATGATTGTTTGTAGCTCGCAGTCTGTAGCTGTTTTGTAAAACTAATATAAAACAGTGAGAAATGTCTGTCATAAACATCCAGAGCCCAATGAGAGTAAAAAGTTCAAAATTATTAATATTATCAAAAGGGTAAGCATCAAACAATCTGACAAGCTTAAATATTTGGTATTTTTTTATAATAAAAATAACTTTAAGAGATTTACTAGCTCTCATTATTGCTTGCATATACTGTAGGGCAGTTTAAACAATAAAAACACATCAATTTCTAAGATCTTCATATGTTTTGTATGCAAAGGTCTGAGTTTGTAAAGCATAATAACTACAGCTGTGGAGTAAAAAGTACAATATTTCCTTCTGAAATGTAGTGGAGTGGGTTGGTTATTTATTTAAATGCAAAAGGAATAATATGTCTAGTAGCAAATATTTGTAAATGTACTTAGCTACTTTCCTCCACTGAGACACCAGCCTATGACTGTAAAAGTCTTTTAATGATTATGTTAGTCCTTGACCATTTTTCACATTTATATTCAGAAGGTTAACCGGAAAATAAGCCGCTTAGAATAACAAACAAGTCTTCAAGTCGCCCAGCTTGGAGTAGATGAGCCGAGTAAAATGTGGCCTTCAAAATAAAAGCACGTAATATGGATTGTTTCTCCACCATTGAAACAAATGAATTACACCACTTTCTGAACTTTCTGCCGGAAGTGATTACTTTGTTACGTCACCGTCAAGACTGTTATTCTGATAGTAGCGATAGGAAGTTGTGCGCGTTTCATGGCCGTTAGCAGTTAGCCGTTAGCCTGACAGTGCTGCTACTGCTACTGCTGCTACTGCTGAGAGACAAGAAGGGAGAGAGCGCGCGTGTTTGGGTGGTGGACTGCAGCTGGTGAAAAACACCGAACCCCGGTTACCTGAAAATGCCTCACCGCCACATGTAAACGGGCGAAACTCGCGGAGGGCAGAGAGTCAGAGCTCCAGGCAGGTTTAGAAGAAAATAAGAGCAGGATGTTGAAAGTTTTAGCTTGCGGCGCCATAGTTTTTCCCGGTCTCTTCTTCGCCTTCAGGAGAATCCTGCCCTGTGTGTTCAAACACTGGAGCGATGCCGACGTGGTGCTGGTTAGTGAAAGGTAAATTAGCTAAACTGGTTACTTTATATATCATTAACTTGACAAAATAACTACGAATATTCGGCTTATTTATGCAATTTGAGCTTCTTAATAGCTTGAAGCTACTTGGATTTTCGCACATTCAGTTGTTATTTTTAATGTCCTATAATTACATAAATTTGCCAGTATACTTATTTCCTGTTAATAATATTTTGGTGTTTTACAATTTGTTTTGTTGTACTCTCGATTATTGCATTTGTGCAAAATGAGTAGGCCAGCAATCCCCAAGCAACCTTTACAAAGACAATTTGCAGATGTAACACTAAAGCACACCCATGGGTCGTTGATAAGAATATAACGTTAGGCGTGTTATATTACTGACTGCCAAGGAATACCAACGCACATGTGTACAATAAGTCGTGATAAATATGCTAACAGATGTGTTGCTTTGTTTATCGGCGTGTGCACTTGGAGGCTAGAAGGGCTCTCGATAAGTGCTCAAAAGTTGTGTTAACATGCACGTCTTCATGGTATACAACCTGTAAGTAGTCTGATATTTAATCTGACATCATTATAACCATGTATCCACCAGGGACCTCGTCACTGGTCACACTAGAAATGACATTTTTTGTTAGAGACCAACAACCAATGCTTGATCCATGTGTTATTATAAATTTATGAACAAAGTAAATCATTACATTTGCAGCTTCTCAGTACCTTTATATCTCAAGGGTATTGAGTGACATAGTCACATGAACACAGCTCAATTCAGTGCTCATTTGTATGCTGTCTCTCTTGCTAATCCTCCTCTGAGCTCCATTTGGGTTCAACTGCTGAGTAAGCTATGCACATGAAGGCAATGAACCATAATGCTTCAACTAATTTGCTAATGCACATCTAACGAAGAACATGTTCTTACAAGTGTCTCTGCTTCAGGGGAGGTCATATTGCTTGTTCTCCACCACTAAAGCAGCCTCTTAGAGCTACTATATCTACTGAGCCCCACAGTATCTAAGCTTACATCATGCTAGTGTCTTTAATTTTGGTAGAACAGGTTTAGGGGTTTCACATTCACTAAAATTGTCCATTTATAGCTCCTGTGTAGTTGTTGAAATTTTCTGTTTCAAACAGATTACAACATTAATAACTAAAACTCCTGATTCCTCGCTGATAATGATACGTTATCACGCCTCTCTACGGTGACACATGATATATATAATACCTGTTAGTTAACAGTAACTTGAGGCTGATGTGTGTAACACTGTGTTCAAATATTAAATGAAGTTAATCCAGTTAACTTAATAAATAAAGTTTTTTGGGGGATAGTGAGGTAGCAAACATCTACACAACTGTGAAAAGTCACTTTAATTACTCTATTTTTCCCATGATAATTATCTCTTAGCTCAGAAGTGAAGGCATGAAATATTTGTTTGTGAGCTAAATTAAGACTGGTGTAATATAACGCATAAAAAATGCTGGGGACTGGTGAGAGACACAGGCTAACCAAGTCCCTATGGATCAAGCAGTAGGTTTTAACTAGTGCTGCAATTTTGATTTGATTTGATTTATTCATTCAAGCATGTAAAACAGTTGATATGTCAACACATGTAATTTCACACATATCCAACAATAATAATCCAATATCAATTTACTTATACCTAGTACATGCTTGAATGGAGTAGGAAGAAGTCAGACTACCCCATGACATCATCTTACCATCATTGGTTTGCAAGCAGTATCTCTACATAGATAATTCTCTTCTACACCACACAAGTAATATACAAAAAAA